TACCTAAAATACTTTCTGTAATTTCAGTTGAAGAACTTACCCTGTATGTTTTTCTTGATAACATCCTTGCTGTTGGTACACTGTTCTGTGTGAGGCTTTCTCTCAGGACTGTTACATTACGCTTCCTTGCAGTTTTATTTCTCTTTATGTTTGTTCCGAATATAGTATATGTTTACAGAAATTGCTTTACTCTTTGATCTACAATGAATTTTAGTTAATAAGTCCCAGTATAAATCCAATTACAAAACTCTTTGCTAGGCCAGGAATATGTTCTGCTTTTCAGTTTTGCCTATGTTTTACCATGGTTGTCCTTAAAATCTGTGTATATGCTCTTAATACATCCTTTCAGTTCCCTATAGTATCACCGAGGCTTTAACAGAGAACAATTGTATAGTTGGAGGAGACGTAATAGGCTACTAGAAGAAATATTTACATCTGGCATGATCAAAGCTTTTGGAGTATATGAATGTGTATGTGGGAGGTCTAATTTTTATGTGGGTGGATTCACAAAGACTAAAACACTGCAGTACTTAACCCCTTTCCCTTTATGAAAATTCAGTTCCTCAAAATGAAAAAAGCATGTGGTACCTGATTCTTATCTTTATTTTTCATTTCAATGAGTAGTGTTAATTCTTCTGCTTGTAGCTACTCGTTTTAAGTTATAGAGAATTTTTTGGTATTTCAGCCCCTGTAGTGGCTTATTTAGCAAGATGCTGATCTTGCTCATGACATTTGTAAATGTTAGAGCATATGCATGCGTTAGAATTTTAAAAACTGATATTTTTAACACAGTTGTGATAGTGTGTAGAATTGTTGTGGTAGGAGCTCTACTGTATTTACAGTGGTTGGCAATAGCTACGTCTCCAGGTTCGATTTCTGCTGGTGTAGTTCCTGTGGCAGTAAGCAGCTGCGAGCTGCTCCTAGAAATCTGTCACTTGACATTTTTTTATTCAGTTACTTTAAATAGCTACTTACATTATGAAAGGATATTAATGCTCATTTAAATAATCTCTGTTAGCATTTTGTTTACAAGGCTCTGATGGGGAAGTTTTGGATGATAGCTGACCTGGACTAACAGCTTGCTGAACGGGGAGGTCTCGCTCTCCATTTGGCTTCTTTCCTTCCCCTTGCTGTCCTGTGATCTTCCCTTCCCCAGCCTCCAGCTATACCAATTCTGACTGCAGGGTAACCAGCTCAGCTTGCCAGCCAAGCAGAAGAACCCACACGCCGAGTTGTGTGCCAAATGCGTATTCTGCTATTCTGGGCTTTAATTTACCAGGTGATCAGCAGAGTACCTGAGCTGGCTACCGGGTAAGCATCAGGAGCCCATGGCCCCAGGGGGCTGTGGTGAGAGGAGAGCCACCTGCCCTCTTTGCCCCTGGTGAACATCCATCTTGCTCAGGCTACTCTCTGAAGTCACAGCATGAGTCATGAACACAGCATCATGTGTAATATGTGGTTTCTTGAAAATCAGCCCTGCTTTTGCAGGCAAATGATGATGTGAGGAGCAGTCCTTGTAAACAGTTAAAACATCAGTGAAGACACCCACATTTATTTTTAGAAGACATATACCTTTTGTGGCTATCTTAAAAGATTCTGTATATGCTTACAGCATCCGTGGCTGTTATTTTTAGAGCTGGGGGTCACCAAAGCAATAGAACTTTCCCCTCTGAAAGCATTTTTTTACCTATTAAATCATGGGTATGTGTGCAACTTTGCTGTTATTTATCTGTATTACTTCAGCGCTCCGAGCTTAGGGAGTTAATACACCTTTTTGGGATATATGCACCATCTCTTTGTTGTCCTTGTGGCATTGGTAGTCCACAAATCCAATCTTGAACTATTCCAGCATTAAATTTCTACGAACTGGTATCGAGGTCAGTTGATGCCAAGTGTTCTCTGTAAGCAGCAGCTGAGGAAGCAATTCAGAAACCACAGAGCCATTCCTGATGCTCTGCAGTAGCAGGATGGGATGGGCAGGTGGAAGTGAAAATTCTTCATCTGTCAGACTTTGGTCTGTTGTTGAGTTTGTCTCAACACCTGAAGTCTCAGGGCACCGCTGTGCTACCTTCTCCAGCACAAAGCCCAGGGTAGGCAGGCTCCTCCCCAAATTTTTGAAGCCTGAGTTTTAGCATTATCAAAGTGATACTGCTTTGTTTTTCTCTGGTCTCAGCATCAGAACTGACACATTTGGTTGACCAGTTAAATGGTGTCTGCAGTTCACAGAAGGGTGTTGGGCATCTTTTGGGTCAGTACTGTGTCCAGGGTCTTCGTGTTTGTCTTGTATTTTTTTCTCTTCTCCTCTTTGAAGAAAAAACAACAGCAAAAGACTTACCATTTCCTTTGTTGCAACTAGTAGGATTCTTTACAAGATTGCTATACTCTGTGACCACAAAACTGCCTCTTCTTCTGTGTCACACTGTTGAAAAACTGCTAGCAAGCAAGTTCAGACTAAGCAGAACCTCAGCATTACTTGTTTTGCTACTTCTTGGTAGTTTTCAGCATGTTCACGTAATAGCAGAATTAGAGGCCCCAATCTGTTTCTGTTTCTCAGTAGTCCAGTGATCTCATTCACAAAGACAGCATGACTATTTATACCTAAGGAGTCTAAATCTTAAAAAGGAAACAAAAGGCCCCAGAAAATGGCCTTGTTTTATCTATAACTGGTCCTCCAAAGCAACAGCTAACTTCAGCAAGTCAGCAGTGGGAAATACCATGTTTTGTTTTTAGCTCCCAGCATCACTTAATTTGCTAAGTATTCAAATACAAATGACACAAGGAAGAGACCTTATATAAATACTGACAATAGTAGGCATGCAGGAATAATCCATAAAATTCTGAAGGATCATCAGAATTCCAAAGAGCTGGGTTTCAAATGCTGCATTTTGTAAGCATGCATAACCAGGATGTTTGTTTCAGGCTCAGAACCCCAGGGTTCATTTTAATCTCTGTTCTTCCAGCTCTGAGGATTGCCAGTATCTCTGAGGTCCCTACAACACTCGAGTGAAACTGTTTTCTACCTGAGTCTAAGCAAATCGAAACAGAGAGGACAACTATTGTGCCCATTCTTTAGAGTGTCAGACTGGTACCAAGTGAGGCACAGCAACAGAGAAAGCAAGGTTAAAAAAAAACCAAAAACCAACACACCACAAGCCCCAAACAAACAAAGAAAAAACAGAAACAAAACCACCAAACTAACTAAAACCTAATTCCTGGGGAGAAATGTCAGCAAAAGCAATACCTAACACCCCTATACCTAACATAAGTGGTGTGGAAATGCTGCACTGTACCACTGCAGGCTCTCCCTCATGGACAAAGCTGAGGGTTGTCTCGGTACAGTGATAATAACTGACATGAAGAAAACAGATTTGAACATTTGATTTTACAGAGACAGAGACAAACCGTGTATGCAACATTATTAGTGTCACCAAGAGATTGACTGCCTGCCTTCCTGTTGCTTGTTCAAGGAGATTTCCATTTACCCTCATCTAACTCCAAGATAAAGAAGGGACCATCTGTTCTTTCTCCTTCACTCCCTTCCTTATTACGGTCCTTTGTCCTCATGATCTCAAATACTAAGTCATCCTCCCCAGTGCCCTTGGTACAATGCCTGGTCTGTCAAATACCACATACCCATCTTTCTGTCAGTCTGCTTTGCCCTGTGACCTGCATTTCCTTATTCCTTGGCATGTGTATGCACCTAATCCTGGTGGTTTACTGTGTGTTTCTCTGCTGTGCCAGTGTACTCCAGAAAATGTGCAGCTGGCTTGAGGCTGGGGTTGGGAAGGGTTGCAGAACAGAGGTTCATGATGCAGCTCTGAGTGTGGGCTGTGAGAGACAGGTCTAGGCTGCACTGCTGTGCCTCTGTCATGTCAACAGTTGTTTTCCTTCATAAGAAACACTTATATACAGTTAGACACAAAAAGTAAGGTCTGCTTTTCATGTCTGCTTGCATTTTTACGAAGTAATTCTGACTCTGCTGTATTGTCTGCTTGCAAATTGCAGCCTTGGAGAATGGCATGTCAGTTCAGTGAACATTTTTTCATTTGCTGGTGACTACAGACAAAGACTAATTTTACCAAAAATCCTTTTAACAGTAATAGGGATTTTACAGGGACTTGTTTGTTATCTCTGCTCTTCCCATCCTCTTCCCACAGCCCCTTTTAAAAGAGAAAAAAAATTGCATTGAAGTTACAAGTGGTGAAACTCCTACCTGTGAACACAGTTGTTGGAGTTCTCATGCAAACGGGACTTCTGGCATTTTTATATACTCTGTTACTGAGGGCAGCCTTAGGGCCCACACAGTTAAAACAGCATCTGCCCGAATGAGAGCAGCGAGGAAGTTTAGGGAAGAGATATGGTGTGGATGATGGCTTTGTGTACAGCCCTGGCATGGTGCCAAGCCCTGTATAAATATAGCTCTGTGATGGTATCATAAACAGTGTCTGCCTTTCCCTTCTGGAACATCTTTTCTAAGCCTTTCTTCATGCTTGATCTCTCTTACACGTGCGTGCGTATATATATCTTATTATATATAAAGAGATTGCACACCAAGTAATTATTCATTTTATTTCTCAGCCCTTTAGAAACATGTCATGTGTTGTAGGTTTTGAGTTGCAGTGAAAGCATCAAATCAGATCTAAGGCATAGCTGTAGTTTTGCAAAAACAGTCACCATGAAATAGCGTCAGGACTGTCTCTAGAGACATTTCTAACAGACAAATTTGTGTATTTAAACCCAAATTAATAAATGTCACTACCTGGTCAGAAAAAAAATATCAAGCATCAGCATTTTCAGTTGCTTCATGTATTATTTTGGAATTGAGAAAAGGCCCCAAGTGGCACAGAAGTAAACATTTCATCTCACTTATTTGCAATAATCATTCTACATGTGTTTGTGTAAATTCAGCATCTGTTTTCAGGAAATCACTTTTGTGCTGATTTCATTTGAAAATGTTTGTGGTCTTGCTAGATATTGTTCCACACATTTTCTCTCAACAGAGTTTGCACTTAGGATAGTGAATGCTCCAATGGCCTTGGATTTAGCATTTGGCATACTGTGTGAGCAGCTCCAGCGCTGGGGGGAGATCCGTGCTGGTGTCCTGATCCTGCTGGAGTGGCTGCTGGGAGACAGTGACCTGAAAAGAGATTCGGAGACTTCAGCCCTGGTAATTTTAACAACCAGTTGCTATATCATGTTGGGGTTGCTATGTTTCTGCAGTCTGGTGGTAGGAATAGAATGAAGTATCTCATCTGGTGAAGCCGGATGGTCGCCGCTGCAGTATTAACTGATCGACATTTTTTAAAAAACATTCACATTGATAATATTTAGAATAGAGTCTGATGTCTGTTTCCTGGCAATATCAGCATCAAATTAAAGCAATCAAGAAACAAACATTGAAATAAATCAAGAGTTACTTCACAAGTCATTGTTGACTGAAACATTTTGAGGCTGTAATGTAAGTACATTCAGTATCATTGCAGATGAATGCTAGCCTTGAGTTTAACCTGCTGCTGTGGCTGCCAGGCACATGTGGCATTCAAGAACAGTGCTCTCCCAGCTGCTGGCTTTTCCAGAGATGGCCTTTAAATGTTTGGTAATTTTGTGCCATCTTCCCTACGACTGGTTCTGCACAGCACACGAAACAGCCTTGCTTACATCAGCCATTGGCTTCGGAGGGATTATTTCTGTAAAGAAAAACTTTGCCATGCTGGTTCTGTAAAACCTAATACTGTGTAATACACTGTGCTCTCTTGTCTTGAGAAGACTGTAAAATTCAAAAATAATGCTGGAAGGTAAACCGGAGGGAGCAGGAGCAGCCACATCTTTTGAGAAGTTTGTTGACCATTTTTAGGAACCAGGAAATAGATTATGAATCTTTTCTTAAGCCTGTGGTTTAGGTATGCCTTTCTGATGTTTCACCGGCTGATACAATTTTCCTTTTTCATTTAATCTACTCAAAAAGCTCCATGATACAGCAAATTACCATACTGGTTACAGAGAGGTTTCTGTGAAATATAAGACTGTTTCATAGGGGAAGGCAAACACATGTTAAGGATTAGGACTGCAAGTTACTTCCACTGTTTCCCAAGAGTTGTGCCCTAACTGCCTGATTTTTGAAGGTAAAATTTCTTTGGCAAAACAGGAACCTTTTTACTGCATTTTTCTCAAACCTTTAAAAAAATGCATATGAATTTTTACCTTTTTTTTTTTTTACCTAAAGAAGCTGTTCTGTGACGGTCTTTATTGTAATTATTTCTCTACATATCCTCTTTCATGTCTTCTATTATTTTCTCATTATTATCAAACCGCAAGTCATTTTCTAATCCCTGTTGCTTTTCTCTTTGATAAGGAAGAAGATGATTACCTGTTTGATAAAGGGGAAGTGAATTTTTGGGCAGAGAAGCTGACTCATGTTAGACAGCTGAGTAAGCACCTTTTTCAGCTTATATCAATGACTCACTTAACTTTACCAGATCATGGAGAACTTAATCGACTATCAAGAATAGCACTGGACCAAGCCCAGCTCGTTGAGTGCCTTCTGGGAGCACTACCCCTGGCTCCAGAATTTTCCAAAACTCCAGAATTTGTAAGATTGGCTATTCAAAATGAGAGAATATCGATCTGCCTTAAAATATTAAATCTGCTGAAGTCTGATGATACTTGCAGAAGTGAAAATCTGGAAAAGTAAATTACTAGAAGTTCATCTTCAGGGAGCTGCACACGTGTTACTTGGATAGGCAAGGAGACTGAATTCCAGCGATGTTCAAGGAATCAGGGGTTGCTATGATGGCTCCAGTCAATCTGCAACAAACTGTTCAGTATTCAGGCTAGAACTACATGTTTTATATATGAGTCCATTGATTAAGTTTTCTTGCCAGATGTGCTCTGGGAGACTCTGCATTTGCTAGTTTCATTCAGCTGAGCATTGTTTATTACAGCTACTGTAGGAAGTAAAGCAACTAAACCTCATATTTTCCATTCATCCAGGTGCAGGCCACCTGTAGTTCTGTTATGTTTTATCCCACACTTTTACCTCCTGTATCTTAATACCAAGAAGCTGATTTTTTTTTTGGTCTCCTTTCAAGATGTAATGGTAATTATTAAATTAATATGCTATTTTTTAAGGTGTTTCTAAAAGAAAAGAAACAAACAGTGACCTCTTTGTCTGTGACTATTTTTAGAGTGCATTTTAAATTTTACTGCATTTTTCTCTGGAAGAAGGCAAGGATTTTTACTTTGGTAGTAACCTTGTTTTGCATATGGAAACAGCAATAGTTAGACTTCTGCATGCCTCTTTTTTCCTTTAAATCACATAACTACTTTCATAAAATGGCTCTAAAATGAAGACCACTGTGTTCTAAATGAAGCAGCTGTTCCATGGCGAACAAAACAGTTTAATCTTTACATCAAAACACCTTGCTCTGTGAGCAGGCTTGGAAAGTAAGGTCCTGGTGAGTAGTGTGAAGTCCCTTGGAAGGGTACCAGAGGTGATTCTGTCCTGAAGCCCTCGGGTTTGGGAGGTGGCACTCTGGTGAGGCAGCTCTGGGGACTATTCCAAATGCTCCATGGTGTTGCAGTGTCTGAAACACAAAAACGCATGTTGTGCGTATTTTTCTGGGAACTGGAATTGGGTTTCAACATGAAAATGAGACGTTGAAAATAAATATGGATGTGAAAAGGTTGTGTTACCTTCCTGCAGCACAGGGGTGCAACTAGACGTGTGGCTGTAGCATGGTGGGGCCCCCACAACAGGGATGTGCGTTGTTATTTCACTCTTCTTGAAAGAAGATGATGTCCAATAAACGAGTGTTGCTTTCGGTCTGTTCCTCTGATGGTGTTAGTTGAGCTGTAAGTGATGGTGAGGGATGAGCAGCTCTCCCGGGGCGTGTTGCGGCGCATGGCCCGCAGGTGGCGCTGCAGCACCGCCGTGCACGGGCAGCGCCGGGATGGGATGGGAATGGGGATGGGAATGGGGATGGGAATGGGGATCCCCCAGTGCAGGGCTCGGGATCAGCCTGGGCAGGGTCTGGTTCCCCCAGTGCCCCCCGGCCGGGCTCAGCCCAGCAGGGTAAGGCGCTGGTCGGTGCCCGATTGCTGCCTCGAGTTTAATTAGAATCCGCCGGAAGTCGAGCTAAGCTGCCGAGTTGGGGCTAGTGGCTATCTAACACTGTGCAAACAAAGTCACTACCGAAAAAAAAAAAACCCAACAAAAAACTTAGGAACAAAAGTTTAGGTACGTGCTGCAAGTTTCCAGGATTCAGGGTTACTTATATAAGTAATCTGCGATGAAACCTGAGACTTGAATAGGCAAAAGGGAAATGCTGGAATCCGAAATTAAAATGTTTCACGGAGTGTCTGCTGCCCAATCTAACAAGCTACGCTGCGAGTTAGGCTAACAATTAATTTGTTTGCATCTGGTTTGAGCTCCTGGGGGAAAAAAAATCCCAAATTATGTCTGGGAGCCACTCTTTAAAAATAGTCACGACGTGTACAATTAATTAACAGCTGCTGGTTTTGCCACATCTTTCCATTATTTTTGAACTAGTGTGGCAACAGCTTTTATAGTAGGAGACAAGAAGAACTTTGTATGTAACAAAATCACCGTGCAGTGGTGCGACCTTGTGTGTGCCAGCGGGTAGCATAAGACTATCCGTAACACTTTTTTGTTTTTTGTTTTTTTTAATTGTGTAGAATTTAAAATGCATATGCATGTATATTTAATATTGGCAAATGGATAAATGCAGGCAGGTAACAGCATAGCAGTACACGCAGTGACCATAAAACTTGAGTAACTTTGTGAAGCCTTGAGGACTTGGTTAATCAGTAGCCAGAAAACTCAGACTTCCTTATCGTGGTTTTAAGATGCAACTGGAACCTCTGTCATCCTGCCCGAGCTTATAGAGAGCAAATGAAAATTATATCAGCACACATACATTTCACCACATGGTGCTGGTGACTCGGGTTACTGTGTAACTACTCAATGAAGAACCTTTAAACCCTGAGCAGCGATTTCAGGAGAGGGTTAGTAAAACCTGATGCAAGAGCACTTATCGGCCGTGTGTGTTTGATCAAAGCCAGTTTATCAAAGTATTCCTCCCAACGGCGATGACACACCGATACGTGCACGAATGTCACAGTAAACTGTTCTCTCGGTTGGCTAGCGGGCAGGATCCGCTCCGAGCTGCTGTTCCCAGAGATGTGTGGGAGGAGGAAGCTGGAGCTCGGGGCAGTGCGGAGGCGACTCCGAGCGGCCCGGGAGGAGGTGATGGGAAGCGGCCGCGCTGGCCCCGC